CTCTCTCTCTCTCTCTCTCTCTCTCTCTCTCTCTCTCTCTCTCTCTCAAATTGAGATACAGCTTCTTCTAAGAACAGGAGTGTCAGGGCACATGGGCAGGGCACAAGTCTTCCCTTCCCTGGTAAAGGGACCCTCAGGTAGCAAGGCCCTAAATGGAGGACTTCAAGCAAGACAGGACCATTGTCCTATTGTGTTCTTACTAGGTCCCTTTGTTCTTTGAGAAGCCCTTGTCCAGAAATGTCCTTGGGACTTTCAAGCACTTGTTTGCACCAGAAAATAATCATGTATCTTAGTCTATTTACCAACCGACCTTGGACCTGGTTTCTTGAGTTACAGCCCTTCCTCTTTACTCCCCTCTCCAGGGATCTTAAAGGAACAGGCTCTGCCTGCCTAGAGGGAGGAGCCTGAAACTTCTTCAGACCCCTACTGTGTTTTGCTGCCTGCCTGCCTGCCTGCCTGCCTGCCAGTGGTTAGCAAAACTCTTGCTTAAGGGTCAGTGCCCCCTTCTCCTCTTGAACCTGAAAACCTAACAAGGAGAAAGTACCCTAAAGAAGGAAGCTGAGATCCTGAAAGACTCCACAGAGTAGAGAGGCTCAGTCTCCTGGACTCTCCCTGGCAGATTGCTGGACTGAATCCTCCTCCACTGATACCATGGAATAGGGGAAAATAGGCAAAGAAGGGTAGCAAACAGTGAGACCAGACTAACCAAGCCAACTCTGAGCCGGTTCTCCCACCCCTTTGGTTTGTTTGTTTTTAAGAAAGCCTGTCCCCCCTCCCCCATCCTAGAGAGACAGAGGCTTACAGAATGGAGGGAGCCCACGGAGTGCAGCCACACAAATCATGCGTTGTTGCCTCAATCTGTAGCATCCGTCTTATGCGGCTTTCAGCAGAGACCTTCAAGTGGATATTTTTATCTCTCCTAACTGTGAACACAGTGTTCGGAGAGCTTTTTCGTTTGCAACCGCCTCATTTATTTTATCCTTGGGAACGAGAACAAAGTTACTCTTGATTCTTTTAATAATCACACTTAAAATTTCAAATCTAACGCAGCCTCTGGCTTAGAGCGGCTTGCCTTTTTCATGGGAACATCTGAATTTGGGAGTGGGTACCGCTGGGAGCCTATGGTTCTTTGTTTTCTCTCACTGTGGTCAATTCTATAGCACCATATTTGCCATGGTGTCGGTTCAGTATCTCCACGTGCATTCATGTTGGCAGTTGTCCTCACGCTGTGGCTCTAGGGTAAGCTGGAGATGCTGTCAGCGCTCCCTGTCCCCAGAAGCCACCATCCCGGTGACTATTATGCTAGTCATAATAGTATATTATGAGCATATACTTCCTCATATGCTACAGCTCCAATACGGATCATATTGCGAACAGTTGAGTAGGAGGTGGCACTCTCTTTTGAGGTGGTGGAAAATTTAGACTGTGACCCGAAGCTGCAAGAGGAGATGCCTGGGAACAGTTCCCTGCAGATGTTCAGTCTGTGAACCTTTCTGTCACACCCTCCGCTTTATCCACCAAGAAGAGAAAAACAGCCTCTTCCGTATGCTCTGGCCACCATAATATTCTGCCTTAGCACATGGAGCCAAGGGACTGTGGGCTGAACTTTCTGAAATGTCAACCTAAGTAACTCCTTTTGCGCTTAAGTCGTTCACTGCCCAGTATTTTGTCAGAATGATAAGGAAAGTAAGCAGTATAACCAGAACTGTAAAATGTTTGTGGTGGTGGTTTTGTTTGTTTTCTTTTGTTTTTTAAACCAGTTTTAATGTCTCAAGTTTCATCTAAGTTTTATCACGTGTCAAAATAGCCCTCCTCTTTAACACTGAAAACTATTCTTCAGTAATTCTATACTGCATTTTCTTTTTGCATTCAATTGCAAAAGGGTTCACAGGTTGCATTCATATTTTATTCATTGGAATAATGCTTCTTTGAACATGAACATACAAATGCTTATTTGAACTGGCCATGCTACCACATACCTATAATCCTAAGGACTCAGGAAGCTTAGGCAAGAAGATTACAAGTCTTGGCCAGCCTGGGCTACACAAATAATTCTAGGCTGGTTTGAGAGCTAAATAGAGAAATTTTGTCTAAAAAAGTCAAAATTATGATTTTAACCCACTATATATGGTGCATATTTATCATATATTATATGTGCATATACATTACACACATACTATATATACATACACACACACATATATATATACACCTTAAATTTTTGAGTATATATCTAGAAAAGGAATTGGTACATCATAAGAAATTCTATCTTTTATTTTATGAGAAAAGTAGTAGCTGTAGCATTTTACATTCCCAAAGACAAAGCAAAAATGTTCTACTTTCTTCACATAATTACCATCTACAGTGACAGTGAAGAATCAGATGTGTGTCAGGCAGATATCGAATGTAGCTTTGTTCTATATTTCTCTAATGGTAAGTGATTTTTGTACAATTTTTCATGTGTTTATAGACACTTGCATATCTTTTCAAGAAAAAGACAAGGCCATTTAAGTCCTTTGCCCAAGCTGGAGTTGTCTGGTCTTCTCTTTTTCACAGTCATTGTGGGTGGAATACGTTCATGGGACGTGGCCAGAACCACTCACTGTATGTCGTGTGTGACTTCTACAGAACGGCATCCAGCAGAGGAATCAGAAAAGACAGGAGGGGCTGGAGGGATGGCCCAGTCTGTGGAGTATTTGCAGAGTACAGGCTCAACCGCCTGAGTCCAGTCCTCAGTACCCGTGGAAAAGCCAGGCTAGGAAGTGCCAGCCTGTTGATTTCAGTGCCAGCTGGAGGCAGGGCGCTAGCCAGACACTTTAGTCAAATCAGTGAGCTTCGGGTTCAGTGTAAGACAAAAATCTCAAAAAAAAAAAAAAAAGGCAGAAAATGGTTGAAAAGGACATCTGATATTGTCAACCTCTGATCACCTATGCCCAAGCACACACACCACACACTCACACACTTACTCTCATTTGATATTTGTGTCTACCCACTTAACTTTTATCCTATTTCCTTTAGCTTCCTCTTTTTCCTGTTATTTCATTTGTGTTTGAGTTAACTTTTTGTTTGTTTGTTTGTTTGTGTGTTTGCTTGGTTGTTTGAACTTTTATTGATTCTTTATGGATTTAATACTCATGCATTCCATCCCACTTATCTCCCCAAGTCCTAGAATCAGCCCTCTGCCCTTGCAACCTCCCCCAAAAATCAAAAACAAATTTAAAAGAAAAACAAAAAAACAAACCAAACAAAAACAAACCAAAAAAGAAGACTCTTGTCATGGAAATTGTGGTGTGGCTGAGGCACAGTTTACCCTTTGGTCTGTTTATGTGAGTCAATGTTTAATAAAGACTGACTTAAAGGATTTGAATCTTATCAGATTGATCAATCCTTGTCTTTAATGAATAAAGAAAATAATCTCCTCTCTTATCTTACAAGTTTTACCTTTTAATTAATCACTTATTGCACAGTGACCCTTACTGCTCTTGCTTGGACTGCTTGATGTTATGCTGTATGAACTGGACATGCAGGGCCCACAGAAAAATGACTGAAAGGTGAGACCATCCTTCGGGGTTCCTGCTTTATAATAGAATTATTTAATTAATACAGTTTCTGTGTGGTTATTTCAGGACTGAGCAGCCTCCTACAATACAGATGTAGAAAATACACCTAACTACCCTTCAAAATCAGGCCCATCATCACCACTGAGGTACAGGAAGATGGCTGATTGCATCATTCGGCAGGCCAGGTGTGGCCACTGAGTATGTGTTGGTTCTGCACATCAGTCTACTTTGGTCTCTGCCCAATGGTTGCAGGAACAAACACATTCTTCACATGTTCTGCATACCACAAGTCCTGGGCAGGAAATTCATGCTGTACAAAGGCCCCTGACTTTCCCTTTTGCACAAATCAGAGAGACGCTGAATACTGCCTTTAGAAGCCAAAGGCAGACAGGAGCTCAGAACAGTCTCTGTCGGAGCTAGGACCTTGAGCAAACAGCCCTCCACAGCCTCAGATCCCTTATCAGTCCAGGGGACATCTAATTCTATCCAGGTTGTTGGATAAGAGGCTGAACATGGGTCCTGGCAGAAAGCCAGGGCTCAATAGATCTTTCTTATTCTTTTAACCCTCAGGACCAGGGAAGTATCCTGGAAAGGGGATCTAAGGACATCTAAGAAGAAAGAGGATCAGGACATCACCTCAAAGTGGGCCACAAAGTCCTTCAGGTTGGGGAAGGCATCCAGGCACGTGGGCTCAAACATACGGTGCTGGTCCAGGACATCATAGACAAGGAAATCCGCAAAGGTGATCTGCAGGAGGTGGGGTCAGTGGGATGGGACCTGGTAGCCTGGGAAGAATAGCAGCTCCTCCTTCTCCTCCTCCTCTTCCCTTCCTCCTTCTCCTCACCAGTTACCCTCTTTACCTTATCCCCTGCAAACCATGGCCACTTGCCCAGGAACTCAGAGTAGAGTTTCAACTGACCTGGGAGGCCCTTCAAGAACTCTGGCTTCCGTTTCTCCTGAAGCAGAAAACAGCTGTCACACCCTCAGACACCAGAGCTCTGGAGAAAGGCTGACCTCACAGGGCTGGGCAGAAGTGTAGATTGGGCCTGGGCAGTGTGCAGTTTCTATGTAATGCTTTGCTGTTTCTTTAATCAGACTCCTTCTTGGTAGCAGAATTCACTCAGAGGTTAACATGGAAATGATACATTCATGTCTAAGTTAGATGGGAATGCCACACTGTCCCTGAATCTGTCACAACTGACATGCAAGCCATGCATGGTGTATCACACCTAGGATATTAGGGTACCTGTTAGGTTCTGCACCTGCACGTACAGTGGAACCAGAGAAGCAAAGTAGTTAACAATCTCAAGAAAAGAGCCCACATTATTTCTAAGGGATATTTGAGTAGCATGAGCAATGTTGAACCATGTCTGGTGCTGAGGGACAAGGTCCTCAGGCTGTCGATGAGCTGCCTTTCGGGGAGAGAGGCCCTGAGTACTGCTTCTATCAGGGACTCAGCTCTGGAATAACTATCGGGTACATTTCTGCATGTATTAGACTCATTTTCTCCTGGTTTGAATTCGTGCCCTCGAGGAGCAGACAGATGGTGTGTGACCAGTTAGGCAAGATGGCATACAGCCATGATCACATTCAAAGTTGAAGAGAATTCTGAACATGTGAATTTATTATATAGGAACCAAGTGCCCAGCCATGGCTGTCACAATAATGCTAACTATTTCTAGGCATTGTTACACAGTGTTTATTCATAAGATCTGGGGGTTAAGGAGGTGAGTGTGTTGGCTGAATAGGAAACTTGGAGGATTAGAATGGGTGAGAAGCTGGAGAGGAATCTGACCATTACCATCAATGCTCTCCCCCAAGGTGTAGCTCTTCTCTCCACAGCTTGTCTCTGTGTGTTCCAAAAGCAGGCAGAGGGCATGGCCCAGCTGAGAGAGATGGCCGGTAGCAAAAGTCACAGTTAGTGAGATTCTAAATGTGTGCCTTCACCTCCTCTAAGAAAGCCTCCATCTCTATTCCTAACAATAGAACAGGAGCAAGCATAGGACTCCTGGCAGGGAACAGGTAGGAAATTCTAAAAAGCATTGAAGAGGTTCTACCTCCTGGAACCAAGCCTAACTCTTCTCTGTGTCCCAATCCAGGGCTCTCCTCACTTAGCAGCCCAACCTTTTAACTCACCCCATGGATATCCCAATAATCTAGAGTCACGGGCGTGTTTTCTATTCTAGCCTTAGAGTCTGAGCAGACTGGCTTCAGTCAGGATGCATTTTTCTTTCAGATACCAGAGCACAGGGGGCAGTGTCTGCTTGCATGCATTTCCTGCTCCACTCCCAAATGGGCCAACCCTCAAGGCCTGAAGCCCAACTTAACATGACTGTAGTGAAATCCAGTCCAAACTCAATAATCTCCAGGGACAAGTCTGAGTATTCAGATACCAAAGGCGATGATTGGCAGGCCTGCTCTAGTGGCTCCCTGCCCACAACCCCTCCCCCTGCTGGGTCCTTAGGCAGTTGGCAGGGTCCTTAGGCAGTTGGCAGTGCCCTGGAGCCTGGCCAGATAGGCAGAGAATAAGGCAGCTTCCCCTCCTTTCTTTTCAGGGCTCCATTTTCACACCTAGACTGTGGGAATCTGTCATCCCAGGAGACTCACCCCTCAGTATAAGGACCAAAAAGGCATGCCCCAACCTGAGAGTTTAATCCAACACCTATCACTGTTTCCAGGACTCCTCTCCTCTGAAAGCTATCAAAACATGTTGTCCCACAGTCTAGAGTTACAGGAATAAGAGGTGACATGGGAATGACCCCAGGGCAGTGACAAACAGCACAGCCAGAGTCTCTGTGTTTCCTTTAGGGGATTTAGTTGGAGACGCAGGTCTTTGATCATCAAGCTACTAATTAATCAGGACATTGGCCGTATGGGTGAGCTCTGTTAGGAGAACCAGACCCGGAGGACCTGGGGACTCGGGGTTTCCCACCGCCTCTGGCAGGGGTCTGCTGGCAGAGCCTCGCACTCACCAACACAGTGGGAGGAAGCACAGAACTCACAGCTGGAGTTTGCTAGGGAGGTTGAGCATGTGTCCCAAGGAACTAGACACCTCTCCCACTTCCAAGGTGTTACAGACTCCTGTTCAGAGGAGACCCTGCAGTATCTCCCTAGGATCTAGGGACTCAAGGTCAGGCTCTGAGCTCTCCAGCTCCCCTGCATCAGCTCAGGCTCCTGATTCTTGTGTGTCTACGAATGAGAGGGTGGCTTAATTGCTCTTCATGCCATTGTGGCACCTGAGACTTGAGGTTAAAATTCAAGTACAATATCCTACCAATGTTCCTCAAGAACCAAAGTCCCCTTGCTCGGGCTTTTAGTATTTGTCTTTGTCATTGTCCTATTGCTGTGCAGAAACAGCATGACCATGGCAACTCATATATATATGGCTTGCTTACAGTTTCAAAGGTTTAGTCTGTTCTCCTCACGGCAAGGAACATGGTGGCCCACAGGCAGACACAGTAGCTGAGAGTTCTACATCTGAGTCCAAAGGCAGCAGGAAGAGAGAGCCATTGGATCTGGCTTGGGCTCTTAAAACCCCAAAGACTACCCGAGTGAGAGACACACTTCTTCCAACAAGGCCACACCTAGCCTGACAAGGCCACACCTCCTAATCCTTCCAAATAGTGCTGCTCCCTGGTGACCAACTGTTCAAATCTATGAGCCTATGGGCCCACTTTTATTCAAACCACCACAGTATCACTGATATACAAATTTTAAAACAAACTCAGGGGGAATGGGGAAATGTCTCTGTCTGTAAAGACTTGCCAGGTATTTTAGTTGGGGTTCCTATTCCTGTGATAAAAGACAATGGCCAAAAGCAACTGAAGGAAGAAAGGGTTTACTTCAGTTCTCAGGTCACAGTCCATCACTGAGAGAAGTCAGGTGAGAAACCGTAAGCAGGAACCCAGAGGCAGGAACTAAAGCAGAAGCCATCCATACATAGAGAAAACTGCTTATTGGTTTGCTTGTTATGGCTTTTTCAGTCTGTTTTCTTACATCACTCGGAATTATCTGCTCAGGGGTGGGTTCCCCACACCACACACTTCACCCTCCCAACCCCACACTCCCCACACCCCACATTCTCCACACTCCTGTCCAGTGAGCTGAGTGTTCTCACACCGATCATTAAACACCATAAACACTTGTCTACAGGCAATCTGATGAAGGCATTTTCTCAACTGAGGTTCCTCTTCCCAAGTAAGCCTAGCTTGTTTCAAGTTGACAAAACATTAACCAGAATGGAAATCAATATGGCAATTCCCCCAGAGAACTGGAAATCAATCTGTCTCAAGATCCAGCTATACCACTTGTGAACATATACCCAAAGGATGCTCCATCCTACCACAAGGTTGCTCAACTATGTTCACAGTGGTTTTATTCATAATAATCAGGTACTGGAAACAACCTAGATGTCCCTCAGCCAAAGAATGGATGAAGAAGATGTGATACATTTACACAATGGAGTTTTACTCAGCTGTTAAAAAAAATGACATCATGATATTGCAGACAAATGGATAGAACTAGAAAAATAATCATCTTGAGTGAGGTAACCCAAACCCAGAAAAACAAACATGGTTGGTGCCTAGCTCACTCGTCATCATAGAAGCTTCCACTAGCAGTCGATGGGAGCAGATGCAGAGACCCACGCCCAAACATTAGGTGGAGAGAGAGCCCAAATTGGAGAACTCTATTCATTACCTCCTCTTGAAGCTCAGGGAACCCCTGGAAGAAGGGAAGGATGAGATGTAGGAGTCAGAAGGGTCAAGGACACCAGGAGAACATGGCCCACAGGCTTCTACTAAGAAGGCTCATAGGGGCTCACAGGGGCTTGGGGAGCATTCATGGATCTGCCCTGGGTCCTCTGCATATACTATATGATTGTTAGCTTGGTGTTTCTGTGGATTCTGTTAGTAGTGGGGGTTGGGGTGTCTCCGACTCTCTCATCTACTCTTGGGACACTTTTTCTCCTGCTGGGTTACCTTGTCCAGGCTTGATGTGAGGGTTTGTGCCTAGTCTTATTGTAACTTGTTATGCTGTGGTCAGTGGATATTCTTGGGAGGCCTGCTCTTATCTAAAGGGGAACAGAAGAGGAGTGGATCTGGGGAAGTGGGGAGGCAAGGGAGGAGTGGGAGGGGTTGAGAGAAGGGAAACTATGGTCAAGATGAATTGAAAGCAAACAAAAATTTTTTGTGATAAAGATGCTCTTCACAGTTGATGGCTTTCAGGGGTGGTGGGTAGAGGACTCAATTTTCTGCTGGAGAAATGGGTCAGGGGTTAAGAGCACTGCCTCCTCTTCCAAAGGTCCTGAGTCCAGTTCCCAACAAACACATGGTGGCTCACAACCATCTGTAATGAGATCTGGGGCCCTCTTGAGGAAAAACCTGGTCAGTTGTTCTCATCAGCTTAGACCATGAAACCCAACATGAACAAGTTCAACAGAACCCCAATATACAAGCTGCCCATGCATGCGTCAGCATTGCCAGGGCATAAATTTCATTTTTCATTCATTCAGATGACCACTGGAAGTTTGACCAGGCCCCAGTGGATAAATGAACAACACAAATTGGACTTGATGGAGTTTGGGCTGTTGCTGGTTTTGTTGTTGTTGTTGTTTGTTGTTTGGTTTCCTTTGGGGGGGGTACTGTTGGGGACTGTGGACCCCAGACCCTGAATCTCTTGTGACCCCCTGCCTGGCAGAGTAAACAACTTGTTTTCCTATGCTTGCAGCTGCTCTGAGCAAACAATTT